AACGTATCCCACTAGAAACTCCTCCTCTTCCTTCATTTCCCAAAACTCAGCAAGATTTATTTCCTAACTGAATCCCTTCCAGAGGCTGACAGACATCTCTTAATGCCTGAAACCACTCAGTTTTCATACTAAAAAGAACACTGTCTTAGAGTTCAAAGTTTCATCAAATGAAGAGTGAGGCACCAAAATCAACTACTCACCTGCAGGGAAAGTGATGGACACCATACTTTGGTGAAGTTAAATTATTATAGTTTAACTTTACCACATGACATCCCCAAAATACGTAAACACTTTCAAGTTTTTAAACTTGTCACAAGTTTGCGACAGTATTTCTATTGGAAAAGCTCCCTAAAGACACCGCTCACTTCTTCCCCAAACCATCCAGCAACGGGAGACACACCCCTTTCCCTCTCCCTTTCTATCGTCCACTTCTTTGGAGGCTGGTTTTATTACATCTTGCTTTCTGCAGAGGTCTAAGCAGGTTCTGGGATGCAGCAAACACCACCGTTACTGAGAACTGGTGCGTTCAGAGATCCTTAGCATAAAAAGCAAGCTGAGCCGCTCTTGTTCACAGAAACTCATCTGCGCATCTGATCTTTCATAGTAGGGAATAGAGGATATTCAAAAAGCTGAGTGCAAAAAACAGGCAAAGCTGTTGCTAGAATTAGCCTTGTTTGAGGAAGAGGGACTCTGCCTTCAGCGCTCCCAACTAGCGCCTTTTATCAGCATTATCAGTGCGTTGGCAGTGAACAGCCCAGCTAGCAAAACTTGTGGCTGCCTTTTATTAGGCTTGAGCTCAAACAGATTTAAAACCACCTCATGCAGATAAAACCACAACTTACCAAGGTCTCCGCTGAGCAGTGCCTCCGCTAGGGGCGGATTGCGTTCCTTCAGCAGAGACAGCTCGTGCGGATTTGCAAGCAACATTTCCCGTAGTAATGCTGGATTATCCAAAGCCTGAGGAAAGGAAGGTGCATCAGGAGGCGACGGGCGAAGATGCTGTGCTGGTGGCCGACGCTGTTGAGTGGACGTCCCAGGAACTGCAATGCTGCTGAAGTCTATCTTAGGCAGACCTTGAGGGAAAAAGAGGTCAGTGGTTCGTATTTACAGCTCTGCTCGAAAAACACCCTAGGAAAAAAACATTGAAAGGATGCGTCGGGCATAATGCGACAGTATTTGAACAGGCCTTTAAATAGCAATCCATGTCGGAAGGCTCCTCCGAAGCACTGCCACATACTCAGGTTAACGGGTTAGGAATGCTAGCACATGTTTATATAACTGGTCTATTCTTCTATCTGGCCCTTTTTTCCAGCAATGCACTTACTGAATCACAGACTAGTTATTTCCAGCTTCACAAATGCTAATACCACACAGAGGGATCACAAGGCTAAACCTAGTGTCTCTATGGCACTTCTGAATTTCTCAGATAAGAGATCAAAAAAAGAGTTAAGACTAACATTTCTGCAGACCTGCATTGCAGGTACCAAACCTCCCGCTCAGGCAGGAGGATCAGAACCTCAGCCACTGCTCCCAAGCCCTTCCTACAGCCAGTCACTGCTTCTTTTCAAGAGATACTTTTATGAGGGCGATATGCTAGAAATTACTGCAGCAGGCAGGACAAAGACAAGAGTAGGGCTCTACTCGTACATTATAGATTTAGAGGAGCCTGGCTTGAATGCATCATTGCATAACTGGGTTTGTTAAGATCTGGCTTCTCTGGGTATTTGTCACAATACAGATGCAGAGCACACATCACAGCCACCTTTTAATGCATCTGAGATGCACAGACTGCATATTATTGCATCATTATACAGAACGGAAAGGGAATCAGCAGTCCTAGGAAAAATCCACATGTCTTTATAAAAACTGCTTTTCTGAACAAGTTACTTCCCTTGCTTTCTCTGCCTTTCCTCAGAAGGACAGTGAAACATGTTATTCTCTTTCTTAGAATAAAAAGCCCATTAAATAGCAAACCCTTCCACTAATTTAAAAACAACATCCTCTGCCTCATTCCTAGCCACACCAGTTCCTAACTGTTTTGCCTAGCAGGGTATTAAAGGAGACTAGCAAGAAGCAGAGTTGGCATTCAACAAACACTGATACCATTGGATGCTAAGAGCAAAAATTAACAAACTGTCTCACCTGAAAAATGGATCGGAGGCCGTGGCTCTACATTCTCCTTCTGTCGCAAAATCACCACATCCCCATCTTTCAAGCCATAGGAGGCCAAAGATCTGTTGTTATCAGTTAGAGGCTGCTCCGCATAGACAATCTGTTCAAAGAGAGAACGCAATGAAAACCTGCACACATGACACAGCAAGAGCCCAAGCAATTTAATAAATTTTGTCTTTTTTTTTTAGGAAAGCATTCCAGTAACTGCTCTGAAGCCATCTCAAACTTCAGAACAGAAGATCGGCAATTCTTACTACAGGCTCAGACAGGCCCTGCCAATGCAGCTCTACCTCAGGCAGAGAAAGACCTCAACACATAAGTGGTTGGACAACCACACAGAATTCGTCTCACAGAAATCCAGTAAGTTTCTCAAAACCCAGCAGCTCTGAGAAGGGCTGATCTCCTAATTAGAGATAGAGATCTTTTAAAAAAAGAATACCTTGCATCAGGTGTATTTGCTGCATATTTCTAGTCAATCGAATCACTACGATTACCCAAGTCATGGCCGTTTTCCAAAGTGTTATCCCCCTAAGTCAGCATCTATTGACCAAGGAGTCAACTGTAGACATACAGGCAGTGCTGATCAGGGTAGAAATTGGACTAGAACGTCTACAGATCAATGATCTCTGCCTTTTCACACAACTTGGCTCCCCAGAATAACCAGTTTTACAAGGAACTCGTTTCTTTGCTCAGCAATTTCTGGTTTTAGTGACATAACTCCATCCAGACTCGAAGGCTTAGCACCCAAAGCCTAGCAAGGTACCATGCCTGAGGTTTTTTTGCGATCAGGTCCATTACATGGAATTAATTTATCGTGACCATAAAGAACTAAGTCACTTCATTTTCTGTTGCGATAACCTGACTCAAAAACCAAGTTTAACAAGGGGGTACACAGATTAAACCATAAAAGTGTATTGAAATAAAAATGAATAATCATTCTGGGATCATTTCTATTAGCATCACATCTGCAATACATACAGATGGCCTAAATTACTTCTGTGTTTCCCTTGAAACTTCAACAGGCAATTACTGCAGATGAATACTATCACTAGGGTTACCGCGCTTCATCCAATAAACGAACCGGGAAACTCTGGGCTTCTGCTCCCCCAAAAATTGTTTCAACTTAGCCAAAACATAACCCACAAAAATAAAGATACTCTTTAAATGAAAGAAGGCTCCTGCTAAGTATTAGTCTTGAGCATCCTAGGAACAGTATCTGTTGAGCATTAGGATTTCTATGCCTTTATCAAAGCACAATGGGACCGGGCAGATGAGTGCAACAGCCTCCTACTCCTGGCAAAAGTCCAAAGCAAGAAACATTGGAGATCTCAGCCTACCCCTAATGGGCATAGGATCAAATTTCACATTTACCACATAGTTCAGCAAGAAATTATGTCTGGTCTGAAAAAGGCCAGTGCAGGAACAACGGATTTGCCACAGGTCAGGACCAACATGTACTGACAAAGCCGCATGGGAGAAGCTTTTACAGTACTTGCTTGGATGGGCTGTGACTCTACCTGATGCTATCACAAGTAGCAACAGCTCACTGAGGATCCAAAAAAATTAGCGATCACCTGCCTTACAAACAGTACAGACTCTCACTGCTTTACTCCAGCAACTAAAAAATATTATACAGAACCCATCAATTCACTCTAATTTAAACAGAGGTCCATCATAAGTGATAGCTTCAAAGTCAGAAAAGACAAACAACCCAAAAATAAGACTTGCTTGCATGTGACGTAGCAATGAACAGAATCATCAGAATTGTAGAGAAACCAGCACGATTAGAAACAAAGGTGAGATTTCTGCCTTCTCATTAAACACAGTTCACAGCATGGTATTGCACTAGACTGGCTTGGGGGTCTTTTTCTAAGCCAAGACAGGTCCACTTGCCAGCTCTCCATCAGTGGAGAGCCTATATGCCTTAAGGCAGCTTGCTTGTAAAGACATTACTGGCATTATTAAGGTTAGCTTGTGATAGGAGGAGTTCCAGTGCATCCCCTCACATTGCTAAGTGCACCCCACCCCGTTTGATTCAGTCATACCACTGTTCACAAAGAAAGCAAGCTTGTAGTAAGTCTGAGCTGCACACGCAAATCTTAAATGACAGCTTCTCTGGGCAGACACTCTGGAAGACACAAGTTAATCAGTTTAAGTGAGGTTTTACCTCTGTCATCTTACTGGGATTGGATTTATGAACGTTCTGCTGTAACACCTTGGACAATGAATTAAGCACCCAGCACTACATCCATTAGCAGCACAGCCTAACACACTCTTGACTCGTTCCACTTTGCTGTTAAAAATACGCTAATTTAATATTGCTGCACTTTGATTATCTGGTTTGTAGCATATTTTAAAAAGCAAGCTTGTAAGCCAGCCAGGTATTAGATGTGAGCTTTTCTGGAGGTAATCAGCACCTGCTTCCCTGCCCAGACGTCACACACTAATTAGATTTTGCACAGTGTCATAGGATAGAATCTCCTTATGGAACAAGAAGTCCCAATCTAGAAGTCAGCTGTCATCAAACTAAAGTTAAACAGCAGCAATACCCCTCTTAAGCAAAGCAAAAAAAAAAAAAAAAAAAAAAAAAAAAACCACACGCAAGACCACCAAGCCTTCAAACCCTATCCAATGTACAAACTCCCACACTGTCACTCCACACTAGAAGAGCAGTCTCACTTCAGTTTGTACCTCAACAGTTCTTATTCACAAGAGCTACGCTCACTCTGAACAGCAAATACATGCTCCTCCTCAACTCATGCTGTTGAGATACATTGAGGGTCCTTATCATCCCTAAAGGCCACTCCCAATTCATTTGGGCATGCTCTTAACCCACCACGGATCTTGCTTAAGACTGGGGTTTGGGACATCTCAGTATTTGTAAGAGGCTGATTGCTATCACTTGTAAAGCAACTGTCATGGGTTAGTTACCTGATACACTGCCATGCCCAAGACCATTTGTAGATACTACTAGCAAGCCTAAGTCAATCTAAATCCAAAACCAGTTAAGTCTTCCTGCTCAGTTTCTAACTCCAAGTTGTCTCTAACCTGGGATATAAATGATTCCTGAAGTACCACATTCTATGAATCCTGAGCAACGCTAGAACTAGAGGCGAGCGCAGCTCTCCCAGTGGATGACAGATGAGGGTCACAGCCTCCAGCACATCATGATTCAACTCTTCAGTCCCAGCCCTCCAACCAACTGATGGGCTGCAGCTGTCCTTGGCTAAAACAGCATGGCACTGCACTGCCAAAATTAGGAGATGCAAAACATGCAAAGAAAAAGCAAGGGAAAAAAAAAACGCACTACTGCACTGCGAGAAGAACACAGAAAAGCTCCCCCTGCAAGCTCTGTCGAGATCCTCCCTATCCTCTTTCCATGAAAAGGCATGTGCATACCTCTTAAAAGCATAAAAAACCCACAGTGCCTCCATAACAGAATTGATTGGATTTCCCCCTCTTCCTCTGCATGCTCTCTGCTCTCCCCCACTCCACCCAACTCCAGCTTCCCTTATCACCACACAAGCAGCAGTGTCTGTTATCTCACACCTCCCTTTTCTGATCCTCTGTGCTTGCAGCCTCAGCCATCTCTTTTAGACCTCTTTTCTCAACACCTTTGCAACCAAATGTTTCAGTTCTCACCTCAAACTGCAGTATCATGAATTAATTTCACAGAAGAGCAGAGAACAAGACTCTGATTAACTGCTCACACAACCAGGCACTTCACACACAACAGTACTTTACTCCAACCTGCACCATCCTTAAATGCTTCTTCTCTTTTGTGACAGCAACCAAACATTACCACTTTAAAGCAAGCCACATCTTGGTTATTGGAGAAAAAACTGCAATAAGCCACAAAGGTCAGTAAATATAATACAAGGACCAAACTCATGTTATCTATTCTTGCAGTATGGTTTAAACAAGCAAAATCCTTCTACACAACAAGCTGCACTACTGATAGCTTGTATTTTTATAAGTTTCTTCTTACTGAAGGTCATAAAACCACTTCACAAAGCCCACTGGGTAGAAACAGAAGGTAAAGGAGCAATAAATACATGGTTAAAAAAGGTCAAAAAAAGAAAATAGAAGACATAAAATGAGAGCTGGGTGAACAGAAAGAAAGCAGAGGTGCTACAGAAAAGTCAACCTGTGGTCAATATAATCATAAAACTCTGTAGCAGTTTAATTGCAGCAGAGCAAAAACTCAAAGGAAGAGAACTCCCAGCACAAATAAGCAAGAAAGTACATGACCCCTCATTATCCTAAAATAGATTTAGAGCTGTCAGGTTACAATGATGCAAGAGGGACAGATTGAAAAAAAGGTGTTTACGCTCCAAGTGCCTTGAGAGACTCAAGTCACCAGCTACAAGCACTCACACATTCCCACATGTAGAGGCCATTCCTGTAACTGGCAGCGGGAACAACCGGGAATTTCTGTGCCTTCACTGGTCACGGTACAGATGTTCAGCACAGACAGGGGGAACTTGCTGTAGCGTAGCAGGCAGGAACCTTTATATAACATGTTTATTCTCTTTCTACCTACTGAGAGAAAGATCAAGAGTTTTTCCTAGAGGAAAATACACATCCCCTTGACTTCCTACTCTTACTTTGGAGACCAGTTAGTCGATCATTTCATTTTCCAGTTGTCTGGATTAAATAATATAAAACTCTGCGTGAACACTGTCACGATCCACTTTCTCAGGAACCTCTCCAAGCTCTCCCAACACAAGTCGTTACCACCTACAGCCGCTCCTGGCACGGGTGGAATGAATTGAAGGCACCAATCCAATTCTCAGTGAACATCCACACCAAAAGCACTTCTGGCTCAGAACTGGAGGGGGATTGCACCTCTTACCCCAGTTGCCAGGGGAGTAAAATAAACGATTCATTGAAGAGGAGTTAAAGCAGAACAGTGAGGCAACCTAAGGAAGAAGTTTGTGCTTGGGTAAAGTGTTCAGAACCTGCTCTGCAAGGGAACAGGTATCAACCGCAGGGGCTACCAATTCAGCAGTTTTCATCAATGATGAATAATTGCCTGGCATGAAAAATAATGTATTAATATAGTATTGGAAAGGGCTCACAAAACAAAAACAATAACTGCAAAACTTCAAACTTTGACAGGCACGTCAAGCAGCTAGAGCCTACCACTCAGAAAAGAGGAGACAGAGCTGGCATCGTTCTGTCTAATGACACGTCACCAGCTAATAGACAGAAATCACAAGAAAATCAGGACCAAATCCAAACAGTGAGTAAACCTGTCCTGGACAGACAACAACCACCTCCAAACCCACACTGCAGTCAGTTCTTGTGTGTTGGCAAGCCTCTTGCAGCTCATTACAACAAAGCCCTGAGCTTGGGCTAGATGGGGATCTTCACCAAAGGGAAACCACGGAGACACACCATTTCATCCTCTGGCTGCCCTCACATCTGTGCGAAAGCGTGCAAAAGGCTCATTCCACCTCCCCATGCTAGACTGGAGCAGTGTCAGGAACCTGCTATGTTA